TTTATGAAATACAGAAGTTGACACTTGCCATTCTAATTGCAGGTTCAAACGTCGGGAAAGTTCGTCAGCACTTACATTTTGTGCCCCTGGCACATGCGCTGCTGAAAGCCATATGTTTCGATCTATTGTCCAATACCAAATGGCTTTGGACAAACGATCACATTCAGTTGACTTAGAACCCCCCATGTTATTAATGTAACAAACAACTGTTGTATTATCGGACATGATTCGGATATGAGTATTAGTCTGATCAGCTAGAAGAGACATTAAAGAAAACTTTACTGCTAATAATTTCAATATATTTATATGCATTGCAGCTTCTGATGCTGTCCATATCCCATTTGTACACCTACCATCTTGAATTTTCGCCCACCATTCTAGTTGGGATGCATCTGTAAAAAGAACCGTGTTTGGGGAACCATGCTGTATATTCCGATGTTGAAACTTAACATTTTGTATCCACCATGCAAGATCTTCTAGACTTTCATGCGACAAGGACATTTTAGCTTCAAAATTGCCCTTCTGTGACTTTAAAGCATTTATTTTATCCCGCTCTATATTGCGGTAATGAAGGCGGCCATATCCAACCCCTGGGCAACTTGAAATTAGCGATCCAATTAAGGACGCTACTTCCCGAATTGTAAATGCTTTACCCTTATGACAAAAATGAATACAAAGTTTCGTTATTTTTTCAGCTTTCCTGTCAGTTCGTTTGACAATCATAAGAATAGAATTTAAAACAAAACCTAAAAGTTCAATAATTTGTGTAGGCGTAATAATGGACTTCTCTGGATGAATCATAAACCCCTGCGAAATCAGTAATTCAACAGCATGCAGAGTGGCTTTCTCAGCCTCTGTGTAAGTATCCCCCAAATTGAGAGAATCGTCAATGTAACCTAGACATGAATGTCCAAATTTACTACGTAATGTCGCAAACACTGGCTTCAAGATTTTGGTAAATATCCTAGGACTGCTGGTAAGCCTCATAGGAAGACAAGTAAAAGCGTATAACTGATCTCGCCTCAAAAATTTTAGATATTTTTGATACTCAGCTGCGATAGGAACTGAATAATATGCATCTTTGAGATCAATTGACGTCATAAAGCAACAAGGAGTCATAAGTCGTATTGCTGTTTCTAAAGTGTCCATTTTAAAATGATAGTAAGTTACCGACTTATTTAACGATTTCAAATTAAAAATATATAACGCGATGCGAGCCATCCTTTTTAGGCGTAGTGAAGATGGGAGAAATAAATTGAATACTTTCATTTTGAGAAGGTTTTATAATTTCCTTGTTCAAAAATTTAGCAATTTCCACATCTATAATCGATTGCTCGGTATGATTAAAATGACACTGTGGTCTCACTGCACTGGTATTAGCCAAAGGCTCAGTCTCAAAATCAATATGATAATGAGAAATTGCATCCAAGATAAATTGATCAGATGTTAATCTTTTCCACACATCGTAAAATTTGCTCAACCTGCCACCTGTAAATGTGGCTTGATTTTGAATTAAATTAATAATCGAATTTTGTTTTCATTGATGACTTACCTGATTTTCTACTTCTGGGACTGTCTCTGACTGTTCCGCTGATAATTTGGGAATTGACCTCGTTACCCGGGGTTATTTCGGGATTTACCTTTTGTTAACTTCTTAGTCAACAATTCGTTGAAGATTGTGGCAAGGTCATGGTCAATTGCCGGTCCTATTTGCTCACCCAGAGCGAACTGTTCTACAAAGGTTTTAAAAACTATATTCTCGCTCAAATCTGTTTGCGAGTGTGAACCCTTGTCTTTGGCAAAGTTTGCGATTTTATCAACGAGATTATCATCGCTGTGTTCTGGCAATGGGTCAGCTTCAGGGACACTAACACGGTCGTCTTGAACATCTTGATCTGCCGCTTGCTCAAAATCTTGATAAACCTGAGATATCGACGCAGTTAACGTGACTTAAAAGTTCAGTCTTAAAACTGGACATCATCTCAGTCATAGCTGCTTTAATGTCAGCTAAATCGTTCTTGATCGTAGGTGAAGTGATCTCGTCACTACCCCTAGCTTGTTTGGAAGCAGATTTATTCCCAGTTATTTGGCAATCTTTGTCGCACATGTTTAATTTAACGCTGCAAACAACAATACAGAATTCTGATTATGCACAATTCACTGCACAATTATATTATAGGCCAAGACACGTCTTGGCTAAACATATATTTGTTATATCAAATATAAATGTAGTAAACCTGTATTAGTGCCGTGACACGTCACCAAGACACTATCTCAACAAACTTTAGTGGAAACTCGTCCAAAAAAGTAGGAAAAATTATCTTCGAATATAAATCAATACTTACCGTAAACGCGTGAATTAACAAGAAAATCAAAATATCAAATCAAGCAGACAACAAGCGAAGATAAAAAAAAACACGTCCTGACACCACGACAATAACAAATGCACTGACCCACGACGGTGCGTGCGCATCTCATGGTAACCCGGATGTGCTTAATGATTTGGTAGAATTACCATTCCCGCTCGTATGAAAACAATTTTGTTGAAAAAAGAAAAAGAAACTGCAAATCTCTCCAAGATTTACCTCTTCCCATAGACAAACTTGAAAACAAAAATAATTCAACAAAAATCAGCGAGATTTCAAACCATATCCTTGATTTCGCAACATTTTTTTGCGGTCATTTTGTAAGTTTTCGGGGTGAATGCCTCTGTGTAGCGCACTGCGCACTGGCTAAGCTTTTGGTTATACTCAAACATTAGCGTTTTGTAATACAGTACTCAATCCGTTCTCAAACGTAGAAGAGCGAGCTCTTATTGGGTAAACGTTTGGATGGTAACGTTTGGCATAATTTATTCGCACGAAAGTTGGCACGTGTGTTGGTGATCTACATACGACTGCTTACGTACGGATAGTAAACGCGACATTTGCATGCATGATCATGAGATGTTACATCTCGGTCCGTGTCACTCCACATTCCCTGAAAAAAATGCACGCATGATGCATGCCCTCTTTTACCGAGTAAACTAAAACTGGGAATATGGGCAGAATGTTTACTGATATTACTTTAGGGCCAACCTGGCCGCTATTTGGATACGAAAATTTAGTTCATTTTTAATGGAATTTGATGACTTGACAGTCTCGTGCCATATACTGTACTGTATACGAATTTGCATGGAAGTAAACGGCAATAATTCCCAAAGGGCAAAACTGCAACAGACGTCTATATACATTGTCATTGCATGCGCTACTCAATACAGTACATTACGAAAATATTTCGATTTCCAAATGCAAAGGTATTTGTGAAGAATATTTAAATCTGATCGTGAATCAAATGACATTACGAGATTTATAGCGAAGACATATCGACGATATTTCAGCATTGAAGCATAACACGGCAAGCCAGAGATAGAGTAAAACGATTTTAATTTAAATCGATAGAAAATAGATCTCTAAACAATTTTTTATGGCTCTGTTTTTGGGATCTGAAGGCTGAACGACTAATTAATGTATTTTTTTGTGACTCTTAGTAACTGGGGAAATTTTTAAGGTTCAAATATTTTTTGTGCAAATAGTTGGACATATTGTATGTCTGCTCGCACGATGCAATAGTACGTCAGGCTATCTCAAGACTCTAGTGATCTACACATGTTGATATAGCTGCAAATCAAAATTGTGATTATAGTGAATAGTGACAACATGATAAAGTCTTTAGAATTCGCCCATTTTGCAAACAATATGGCTTATGCATATATGGTCTCATTTACACCTATTACATGTGGAGCCAATCAGAATTCAATTTCTTACGTTTGCAAATTTACATAATTGAATATACGTTCGTTTACGTCCTTCGGTGCATGTTAACTAATAAAACATTTCTGTGTACATGCATAGATTAGGGAATGAATAAATGGCTCACTCCTTTGATGTTTTTGACGCTGCCGGCACCCACGCATGTTCTTGCCAGAATAATGGCGGCCTAGCAAGAACTATAATAAAATGTATTGTGAAATTGACATCCGTGCTACTAAATCCTGTATTTTTCCGCTTTCAGGGGTTGTAATGAAAAAATATATCAGAATTATAAAAATACAGAATTTAGTAGCACCGATGTCAATTTCACAATGAATTTTACTACAGTTACTTGCTAGGCCGCATTGATTATTGTAGTCCATTATGGGACGTCTGTAACCAACAGCTGAAAGATAAGCTTCAAAAGTTCCAAAACCGTGCAGCGAGAATTATAACCGGCGCCAGCTATGAAACAAGGTCTGCTGATGTTCTTCAATCCCTTGCTTGGGAAAATTTAGAGATAAGACAACGTACAACTAAATCCACATTAATGTATAAAGTCCTGAATGATTGCGCTGGGCCGAACTTGAAGGATACTCTAACGAGAAGGGACCTTGTTCAAACCAGTTATAATCTTCGCAATACTTATACTGACCTTACCCTTGCTAAGCCAAAACGAGAATTTTTAAAAAAAAGCTTTAAGTATAGCGGAGCTAAATTGTGGAATAGTCTTCCTTCTGATGCGAAGCTAGCGCAATCAATTTATTCTTTTAAAAACTGCCTGAAAGTTTCACGCTAACATCTTCTAATATACTGTATATGCATGCTTTAGAAATATGGGTCACACCGTTTGGAACTTAATTCTTGTATTGTAAATAGTTGTATATAATTCTTTATTCTTTTCTATATCATATTTGTAATTTTCAACAGTAACAGACGTCCCTCGTGAAAATCAACAAATCGTTGACGAGGCTAACGTCTTTAAATAAAGTTTACATACATACTCTGGCAAGAACATGCGTGGGTGCCGGCAGCGTCAAAAACATCAAAGGAGTGAGCCATCTATTCATTTCCTAATCTATGGTATATGCATCCTGTGAGAAAATTTGTGGACCGATAAACAAACCCTAATATGTTTGGCAACTGTCATTTCATTCTCTGTTTTATTAAACTGGAACAATGGTAACAAGCTGTAGGTTATCTAAATTTGCGAAATGGGTAGAAATGATGTAAACAAGCGTTACTCAAATATGTCTATTCAAGTATTGTGAATAATTTCAAGAGAAACAAATCCGGCAGTTCAACCCCCAACGCTGGTAGCATGCCCCGGCCCCATTGAACGAAATCAAAGATAGAATTTGCATGATATTCCCTCCTCGAAGATTTTTTCGCAAATGCAGCTAATGCAATTAAGGTTGTCTTTTCAACGCTCAAACTCAAAGGCGTCAAACTTCGACGTCTACGAGCGAAAAGCACAATACGACGTACTCGAATGTCGATACCCTTTGTGCATTTCTTAAAGAAATTCAAATTCGTAAAATCGCGTCTCTGCAAAGGAAAAAAAACAAAATATTTTTCTCAGCTTTTATGTAGCTACAATTTTGGTCAAAACCATCTGTGCAGTTTACTGTTAAACCATAGATTAGGGAATGAATAGATGGCTCACTCCTTTGATCTTTTTGACGCTGCCGGCACCCACGCATGTTCTTGCCAGAGTAATGGCGGCCTAGCAAGTAACTGTAGTAAAATGCATTGTGGTTAAACCGGAACAATTTACTGGTTTTCCTTTCCTCGCCCCCCCCCCCCTTCCCCCAGAAAGTGCATGTTGGACGTGTTATAACCGTATTTTAGGAACGAAATCATCAGTGAATGGTGGGGGTAAGGGGGAGGCTTTTCTAAATTGCGATAATATTACGAAAATTCGTCATATAATTGGAAGTGGATCGCAGATTTTTTATTGGGATTGTATGTATAGCTAGCTAAGCACAATTGACTAACGCTCAAGCGGAATTCCGCCATAGACAAATATCCAAAAATGTCTATATTCCGTTTGAACATGTTTTAAGATGTTAAAATCGGGATTTATTTTGCCTCTCAGTACTTTCAGATACAGTTGCCGCCATAGTGCTCTGTGGAAAGAATGTGAAAGCTTCAGAGTTGATAAAAAAATTACACATATGCATCACAATAGTTTCAAATAGTCGGGATATAACGTGGTTAATTTCTGTAGTTCGATTAATTTCTGTAATTCGATATTCAGTTGCTGACTGTGACGCTCATTAATTGGTTCGACCAAACATGCGCTTATCTGGCACTCTTTGTGGGTAAAGGATAACTAACTTTTATAACTTCAATGAA